TTTGAAAGTAATTAATCATGTAAAAAGGGGAAATTCCTATTTAACCAATCGTCGTATTAGATTACGTTTTCCTTTAGATAATTCATAGCATTGCCTAATCTTTTGTACCTCAGGCTTAGATAGAGCTTTCTTTGGGAGTATCGGAGGTCGAAAAATAGTGAAAAAGGAAACCAGTCAGCTTAGTGGTGCTTACACAATAAATCCACGTTGGAGCCAATTTTGTTGTAGTTAGTCATTGTCTCTAGGATAGTCAACAGCCGTAATAGATCCCGATCTTCCCGCAGCCAGCCAGTGCCCCAGGAAACCCTTTCCCAAAAGAAGTTTATCGAGTTGTTCCCCGCCTTTCAGTTATTTGTGAAGGCAAAAAAACCTGTTTTCACACTGCTCCTAAATCGGTGAAACACCCCTTCGAATACCGATCTTTTAGGTTCTCTGTGCCCATCTTTGAGAAAAATGTTGGCTACAGACCTATTTGACACAACAAAATTATTTTTAAGACAGTGAAGAAGTTTTGATCCTCCCGCTGGAGTTTTGTTGTCTATGAGTCTCCATGAAATATCTGAAAATGCTTTCGCTGCAATAAATGCTAAGCAGGGACATATGGCCGCAGTAATCAAGCGACAGAAAGAGGCAGAAAAATAAAAATAAAAAAAACACCTGCTTTAGGAGGACAGAACCTCCAACTACAGCATAAACCAAATCATGAGAATTCTTCGGGATACAGAATATATCATTTTAGTTTTTAAATTGGAAACGTTTAGTGATATCACCTCAAGTCATAACGGAAGTCCCACATCGCGTGGTGATAGGTCTTGCCCAAGGATATATTCGCACTTCCTCCTTTTACCATCAAAGAAGGTAACTGTTGTGTATTCATTTGGAGGAGACACTCACTCCTTAATTGCTTTCTATATATATATTGTCTTTATTCATCGATGAGCTTTCTAATAAGCTGGTACAATTATGTCATTTGATTAAAGTACTTCAGATCAATCAGTAATCCTTGATATTACCAGTATTGGTACAAGTACTCTTTCTATGTTCTCAGTACACTATAATTACTACCAGAATGCCTGACTTGACTCTCGCAATAAAGTTCAGCAATAAAATTAAAACTAGTATCTCCTTTTGAAAGTAGTGGGGAAGAGCTTCACTATTTTGCCGATTGTTCGCTTCCCGCGTGCTCTACAACAAAACAGTGCACTACAGGGGCTTCTTTAATTTATAATTGTCTGTTTCAAGTTACGTAATGTCAAAAAACCGAGCGTGTGCATGGGATTAAATTGAGTTAGATTGGTGCCCATCACGTGTAGAAAACTGTTTAAATTCAAAATTCAATGCCAGGGGCTTGAACAGAAAGAACCACACTTTTCAAATGATAAATTACAACAACCTTTTTTTTTTGTAATTTGAAGAGTTTAAGTCGGGTGACAGCACGTCATTGCTTTTATGGTGCTAATAGTAATGTGGAAAGACATTTTGCCTTTAACCAGTGGTAATCAATAAAAGTGATGCATTAGGACACAGGGAAATAAAACAAAGTGTTCGGTTTACAGTCTGACAGCAGTTAGTGGTCATGGATTTGAAAACTTCCTCTGAGAATTTTTCTTGTTTTTATCTTCCTTATCCGTTATTCGATGGAACCTATGAGCGATTCATTACAAATTTAATAACAGCCATCATCAACATCACTACCACTCCATTCGCTTTTATTGTCAACATACTGATCTTTCTCGCCATTTTTGACTTTCACCGTCTACAAACTCCTTCCAATCTATTACTTGCGACTTTAGCATAGTCAGATGCATTTGTCGGCCTGACAGTCCAACCAGGTTATATCACCTATCGGCTTATGGAAAATTAGCATCGTTCAGTTCCTTGTTTTGTAAGACTTATCCACAGTTCTGCATTCTACGTATGTTTTGGTATTTCTTCCATGACTCTAACCGCTGTGAGCTAAGAGCGCTTTGTGGCTGTTCGTCTAAGTGTAAGGTACAATGCGATGTTTTCAACGAGACGGGTTCTAAAATTTGCTTTGGGGATATGGACGGTAAACATATTCTTGACTTTTGGAAGACGTAATGGAAAAACTCGAGTGTGTGCATGGGATCTAAATTGGTTTCTTTGCCTTCTTATCTCAACTGCGACCCAATCAAATTAGCGTTTTTATGGCTGTGCGAACACACCATCGAAGAGTCCAAGACCAACTTCAAGGGGATGAAAGCCACAGAGACAAAGAAAAGTGAAACTAGCGAAAAGATATTGACTGTGGTTGTAATTTACTTTATTTTGTACTTTCCCATCTTTTTCGTGACATTTTATCATCAGATATTAGGGCTAAACATACAAACATACAACCACTACAGCAGTACAGAGACGCTGGCTTTTATAAACTCCTGCTCAAATCCCTTTATATGTTGCTGGAAAAAGAGAAAGACTCTTCAAAGAGTTAAAGATCTCCCAGAGAAAATTGTTTCCTAAAACACATTTTGTAAGCTAATTTGTATAATATTTTGTTCTTTCTTTCATTTCTCCCAATGTTTTGTTGACATCTTGACTATTGATTTTAAGTCTCATGGTAATTTTCAAAACTGGCGGCAAACGTCAATTTCAAGTTTTACACCTGCTATTTTCAGAACTTCTTCAATTAATGCAAGCTTTTTCATCAAAGCCTCAGGTTGTTAAATTGCGCTTCATGACAAGCACTAATTCGAGCGATGGATCTTTCTGAGAGTACACAACGCTTTCGAAATAACTATTAAAAGCTGGAATTTTCTTTCTTTTACCGCTGCATTAGCATCGCAGATGATCAAACTTGAGGATGAGTTTCAAACGAGATATTCACAAAGTCAGATGATTGAAACGGGAGGAACTTTTGGGTCGTAACGGTTTGCAAACAACAGCTGACTGTTTTTTTAATATAAATGATTAATATTTTGAAAGGTAGAGGAAAAAAATAAACGAGAAAACATGTTTGACACCACCAACAACAAAAAAAATATATATATATATCGTAGGAAGTCTGTGTTTCGATTTTGCCGTAGTACAGTGCTCGATACATAGAAGGAGAGCGCGATTTGTATTGAGGTAGGGAAAATTAAGAGGCTACACTTTCATCCCGACAAGCCTGTTACGTGATTAAATCACTCTTCAGGGGATTTTAATGGCAAGAGCATTCGTAAACATCGCTAATACACCATAAAATTTGCATAATCGATGTGGCGATAAATTTAGATGTTCAGTTGTTACGTAACAGCGCTTTGTTTCTGTGACAGCATGAAGACAATTTCATCACGAAATATCTTTCCTTAAAAGAACGTATATCTATATATATATATATATACATTTCGCTGATGGAATATGTTCCTGCTCTTAGTGATACCTGTCGCACTTTGGTTACCCAGCACTTTGTAATAACACTTGTCGCACTATTTTATAAAAAGGCCGTCTCACTTTGTAATAAAAGACTATCCCAAGTTTTAAGACCGCTAGGATAGATAGTCGCACTTTGTAATGACACTTGTCGTGCTTTTTGTTATTTAAAGGATAAAAAATAGAAAACCGTTTTAATGACGTAGCTTAAGCAATCCAGCTATCTTGATTAGATCTAAGCGCTGGTTACGTAATCAAACATGGTACACTTGCATTGCCGGTAACGAAAAGGAAGGGCTGCACCTCTAAATCGGTGAAACACCCCTTCGAAGACGGATATTTCAGATTCTCTGCGCCCATCTTTGAGAAAAATGCTTAAAGCCCTGACACAGTGAGTTTTCTGTTATATTCAGCTCTTTCTTGAGAGCGGGACTGAAGGAGCATATCTGACGATCTTACCACAACTTCCACATCGCTTTATTTTGCAATGACGCCTCAGAGCAAAGGAATGCTGAAGTTCGCTGTGCTTTTAAGGAGATGAAAGTGTGTGGGTGAATATTCAATGGATATCATGTCATACAGTAAGTTCCTCGGCAAATGTTCGCTACAGACCTATTTGACACAAATAAATCATTTTCAAGACAGTGAAGAAGTTTTGATCCTCCCACTGGAGTTTTGTTTCCTATGAGTCTCCATGTAATATATAAAAATGCTTTTGCTGCAATGAATGCTCAGCAGGGACATATGACCGCGGTAATCAAGCGACAGAAAGAGGCAGGAAAATTTAAAAAAAATCTCCCTTAGGAGGACAAAACCTCCAACTAGAGCGTAAACCAAATTATGAGAATTCTTCGAGATAAAGAACATGCCATTTTAATTTTTAAATTGGGAAAGTTTTAGTGATATCACCTCAAGTCATAACAAAAGTCACACATCGCGTGGTGATAGGTCTGACCATTGACCATTATTTTCAAAGAAGGTTACTTTTGCGTATTCATTTAGAGGAGATACTCACTCCTTAATTGCTTTCTATATATATTGTCTTTATTCATCGATCAGTTTTCTAATAAGCTGGTACAATTATGTTATTTGATAAAAGTACTTTCACATCACTCAGTAATCCTTGATATTACTAGTATTGGTACAAGTACTCTTAATATGTTCTCAATACACTACAGTTACTACTATAATGCCTAACTTGACTCTCGCAATAAAGTTTAGCGATTAAATTGAATCTAGTATCTCCCTTAAGAAGTAGTGGGGAAGCATTTGACTATTTCGCCCACTATTCGCTTCCTACGTGCTCTACAACAAAACAGAGTCCGGGGCTTCTTTATTTTATAATTGTATGTTTAAAGTTACGTGATGTCAAAAAACCGAGCGCGTGCATGGGATATGATTAAATTTAGTTAGATTGGTGTCCAATAGGAACCCTGCACGTTATCGTCGTGTGATTAGAACGTGACGATTTTAAGTTGAGTGACAACACGTCTTTGCTTTTATGGTGCTAATAATAATGCATAAACACCTTCTTCCCTTAACCAGTGAGAAGCAATAAAAGTGATGCATCATGACACAGGGAAATAAAACAAAGTTTTCGGTTTACAGTCTGGCAGCAGTTAGTTGTCATGGATTTGAATATTTCCTCTCAGGATTCTTCTTGTTTTCATCTTCCTCATCCGTTATTCGATTTAGCCTCTGAGCGATTCATTACAAACTTAATAACAGCCATCATCAACATCGTTACCGCTCCATTCTCTTTTATTGCCAACATGCTGATCATCATCGCCATTTTTGACTGTCCCCGTCTACAAACTCCTTCCAATCTATTGCTTGCGACTTTAGCATTGTCAGATGCATTTGTCGGCCTGACAGTCCAACCAGGTTATATCACCTACCGGCTTATGGAAAATCAGCATCGTTCAGTTCCTTGTTTTGCAAGACTTATCTACAGTTCTGCATTCTACGTATGTTTTGGTGTTTCTTTCATGACTCTGACCGCTGTGAGTTATGAGCGCTTTGTGGCTGTTCGTCTACGTGTCAGGTACAACGCGATGTTTTCTACGAGACGGGTTCTAAAATATGCTTTGGGGATATGGACGGTCAATATATTCTTGACTGCTCTGGAATGGGCTAAAATAGATAAAGCCATGAGAGGTATTCATCTAACTCTTTGGTATCTTTGCCTTCTCGTCTCAACTGTGACCCAAATTGGCGTTTTTGTGGCTATACGAAGACACAATCGACGAGTCAAAAACCAACTTCAAGTGGATGAAAAGCTACAGACACGAAGAGAAGTGAAACTAGCGAAAAAGATATTAACTGTGGTTGTAATTTACTTTATTTTGAACTTTCCCGTTCTATTTGTGACATTTTATCATCAGATATTAGGGCAAAACATTCAAACATACAACCACTACAGCTGGACAGAGACGCTGGCTTTTCTAAACTCCTGCTCAAATCCAATTATATGTTACTGGAAAAAGAGAGAGATTTTTCGAAGAGTCAAATATCTCCTGAAGAAATTAATTTGCTAAAACACATTTTTATTCTCATTTGTTGAACATTTTGTTTTTTGTTTTTTGTTATTTTTTCATTTCGCCAAATGTTTTGTTAATATCTTGACTACTAATTTTTAAGTGTCATAGTAATATTCAAAACTGGCAGCAAACTTCCGTTGAACGTTTGACACCTGCTATTTCATAACTTCCTAAATTATTGCAAGCCTTTTCATTAAAGCCTCAGGTTGTTAATTTGCGCTTCATGACAAGTACTAATTCAGGTGATGGATCTTTGAGAGAGTACACAACGCCTTCCAAATAACTTCAATTCAATGAAAGCTCGAATTTTCTTTCTTTTACCGCCGCATTAGCATCGCAGATGATCAAACTTTACGGATGAGTTTCAAAAGGAATATTGACAATGTCAGATGGTTTAAACGGGAGGAACTTTCGGGTCGTAACTGTTTGCAAATAACAGCCGAATTTTTGCGTAATATCAATGATTAGTATTTTGAAAGGTAGAGGAGAAGATGGAAACGAGGAAAAATGTTTGACACCACCAACCACAAAAAAAAATTATATATCGTAAGAAGGTGTTTTTCGGTTTTGCCGTAGTACTCTATACATAGAACGAGAGCGCGATTTTTTGATTGAGGCAGGAAAAACAAAGAGACTACACTTTCATCCCGACTAGCCTGTTTCGTGGTTAACTCACTCTTCCGGGTATTTTAATTGCAATAATATTCGTGACCATCGTTGATATACTACAAAATTTGCATAATTGATGTGGCGATAAATTTAGATGTTCAACTGTTACGTGCGTAGCAACGCGTTGTTTCTGTGACAGCGCGAAAACACAATTTCATTAGAACTGTTTCCCTTCAAAAGAACGTATGTACATATATATTCCAGAATAAAAGAATTAAATGCAAAAGTCTCTGCATGTTTGGAAAAAGAAGTTAATAATTTTGATCTCACAATCACTCAATCTTGCGGGTAAAGGCCATCTAAAAAGCTCTTTAAGGGGAGAAACTTGGGATATTGAGCATAAAACAAACCATATACAGCTACCAAGGTATAAGGTATATGGAGAAAAAACATGGCGATGATATTGCATCCACGAAAGTCAATTTTACGCATATTGCGAAAATTTTCGAATTAGTCTAGAAGAGTCTTTATCATTGGACATTTTCAAGGAATATCTTAATAACCGAATATGACCGTTACAGCAAGATCAGGTCCCTCATGAAATATCACAAGGATTCTGTTTCGTGCAGGTGACAAGAGAAAGTTTTTAATTCATTAAAATTTTGATTACGATATACTGGTCATGATGTCATATAATTATCGTTTCACGAAAGAGGAAGAAGCTTTAATTCAACAGAAAGTAGAAAAAGACCAATTTCGATTAAGTTACAGACCCTATAAATTAAAAGTCTATAAAGTAATAACTTTCAATTAGTTAATTGGAAGTTCAAAATCAAGTAAAATCCAGCGACGAGAGAGATTTCCTTCGCTAATTTCGCTTCTCTTTGTCTTTTTAGATTAATACTAAGAAGCCTGAAGTTATGCTTAAAGTTGTCTGCGACATTGTCGCACAGTGAATGGTATTCCAGTCTGAGGTGCCTAACTTTTGTGTCGGTAAATGTCTTGCTGAAAAAAAAAGTAATTACTTTGTGCAAGTAATTACTTTGTGCCAGTGGTTACTTTGTGCAAGTAATTATTGCACAAAGTTAAAGATGATGAAAAAAAGAAATCTCGTAACTTATACACTGATGCAGATTTTAGCTTCTGAAGAAAATGTTAAACAGCGTTATCCGTGAGTGGCAAATGGAGATTCTGACAGCAATGCTCGGCGAGTTATGAAGAGTTGACATTTTGCGCATTTGCCCTTCGCAACGATAAAGAGAAAAAAATGGAGAAAAGTTCTTATTTTCTAATTAAAATATAACGCTGCTTAACGGGTACGTTTAAAACTTGATTTATTATCGACTGAGAGTTGGCAAAGAAAAAAAAAGTTACGTCTACACTTTAACATCAACACGATTATCCGCGTGGATTTATTTTTCTATTTAAGTTTTATAGTGTTCCCGGCATTAGATCTTGTATCGGCCGCTGATCTATAGCTGACGTGTTGCACAAAAGTGGTGTTTGGATGAATAAGACGGTTTAATCTATGCCTTAATGTCACTCGAAACCTTCTGTCTCTAAATGCATAAAGAAGAGGATTTAAAAAGGAGTTGATGCTAAAACAAACAGTTGTTAATGAACCCACCAAAATTTCTCTGGTCGTTAAAGAAACTTTGCTGAAAGTTTGAGTCATCAACCATAATACTCCTATAAACACAGGAACAAGAAAAAACATCAAATTGCTTGTGACCAAGATTGAAATCTTTTTGGCCAGTTTTCCATCTCGCTTTATACCCATTTGATTTCCTGAGTTCCTCACATGGACAAAAATATGGAGATACATGGGAATAGTGATGATGTACAACAAAATTCCAATTGCGACGACACTGGCGCTGTATGCAAACGAATGAGGGATTCCCTTCGCAGGCTGGATCGGAAGGCAGAAGGTAGTCGTAGTGTATGTTCCCACACCGAGGAATGGAAGGGATGCCATAAATACAGCTATTGCCCACGAGGCAGCCATGCAATAGAGGCATACCTTTGCTGTGACAGAGATACTTGGTCTCATGGAGAAGATAATCGCTATGTATCGTTCAGTAGTCAACAGCAATGAAGAAAGAGCTGCTGCAAATTGCCCGACAACCCACACAAAACCAATAGCTGGACACAAAGAGTTCATCACGCCAACGAAGGCTTGATAAGTCATAGCGTGACGTGATGACGTGATAGCAAGGGTGTACACTCCTAGGAAAAAGTCACTCAAGGCCAAATTTGCAACTAATAACATACAAGGTAGTTTTCTGAGTGTTTTTGTGGTAGACATTGTAAAAAACACTGTCAAGTTGAAGATTATAATTAATGGAGTTAACAGGTATTCAATATATAGAGCTTCATTGGCACTGTCCCAGCATCGATGCATTGGGATGACTGTCACTTCAGAGGTGAAGCATTTTTCATCGAAAGCAATTTCAAATCCATACTTAGCAAATAAGCGAGATATTGATTCGACAAGGTAGCGTGAACCTCGACAGCGTGACTTTGGGTAAATGTCATACACCCCTTTCTTGAAAAGCGTCACGTTTGAGTGAGTTTGGTTCTTTATAAGTGTCTTGTTGTTGCAAGCACTGCTCCAAGTAACACCAGAGATACGCTGAAGGCTTGACGCTTTGAGAACGTGTGAAGGAGGAACAAAGGTATTCTCAGTCACCAATGAAATTGCTTCGAGAGAAGGTAGCTCGCGGGAAATATTCCCATTCCAGGTTTTCAAGTTTTTGAATTTGAGTTCCCTTTGAGAAAAGCAAACTGGTAATTAATCGCGAGTTTGCATTACAGTTCACACGGCATCCCATGTAAATATTGATCGTTAATACATATACCACATCTTGGAGATGTGCTTTTTGCGCATGGGTTAATTCGGAGGTGATTAGCAAGCAAACTTCTTCGAGCAGCCGAAGAGACGAATCACGCTTCAAGGGTTTAATTTGCGATCATTTTTCGGTATATTGAAAAAAACTACATTGATTCTATGGTTTCTACGTATGTGGTATATACTACAACAGTTATTCAATAGTCTTAATGTAAGTGAAAATTGTGGATATTGACCTTGCTGCTTGACAGCTTAGTAAATATCCAATTCGATGAATAATCGGTAAAAACATATTATGTCAGTTAAATAGATATAATGTATGTACCTAATAGGTTCACCATGGTCGTTGTTGTTTCTCGAAGAAAATTCGAAATTATATCCAAAGGTATATACCAAGGCCATCTTTTTTAGCGAAAAAAGCTTACTTAGAGGTGAATAAATTCACGAAACAACTTCGAGCTAAGTTTTTAACTTGGTGATATATATATATATATGACAGGTGTCAATATCAATGGTAACGAAACTGTTGAATCCAATCGAGCTTCACAATGGGCAATCTTTCACCATATTAAAGTTCAAAAGGCAACCAGGCGGACAATCAGACATGGTTTGATCCTACTTTGGTGAAAGATTTAATGAATGTAATCGAGAACTTACAATTCATAGACCCAACGTTTCGACACTCATGTCTAGTGCCTTCTTCAGAGGTGATCTAATCACTGCAAGAAGAGGTCCTTTTATGTTCTCACTAATTAGTTGCCCTTTTTTCGGACGAGGTCAAATAGGCATCAGGTAGTAAGCCGCCATCATCGCGATTTAAGGGAGCGCGGACAGGCTTCCAAATAAAGGCGCTATTGGTAATGTCGATTAGTAGTGATTTATCAATTTTCACCACTAATCGACGCTACCAGTTAGTGAGCATATAAAAGGTCCTCTTCGTTGTTGCAGCGATTAGATCACCCCTAATGAGGGCATTAGACAGGAGTGTCGAAAGGTTGGTTCTATGAATTGTAACTTCTCGGTTACATATATTAAATCCTTAAACCAGGGTAGCATCAAACCATGTCTTACACCATATTGTTAGACCATGTTGCTGTGCTCCTCAGATACGTTGATTTAACAAACTTTAAGTGAAAATGAGTATTCTTTGAACATAAAAATTAGCTTGAAGGCAAGGGAGAACAAAACGAATAAACCAAAAAGTTATATTTGATCACAAGTTACTAAAATACTTACAGGTATTTCAAATTGATGAACTTGGAAAATGTGCCTTCTGGTATATTGGTAGCGTTATCATCTACGACAGTACTAAAAAACAATAACCTTTGGTCAAAATGATATAGTTTGTTAGGAAACTCGAATAAACCTCACTTCTACTTGAGCCTAATAACTATGTCGTCATTGGGCATTTTTCTATTATTATTTTTGGTTCTATATTTCAGTGAGTACCGCCATTGTTCTTGGACGACGAATGTTCGTGTACCAGTATCAAGTTTGCTTTTTGTTTCCACCAAACAGAGACTAGTTTTAATTGGGCTTCAGG